GTAACACTATTGGCAGCCTTGGGGGTTGCATCCTTACTTAATTGAAATTTTTAGTCTTACATTTATCATAACATTCATTCACTTAATCTGTCAAACCTTCCAACCTTCAAACGTTCTTACAATCAAACCTTCAAACCTTCAAACAATCAAACATATAAACTTTCGAATCACTCATAAAGTTCAAACATTCCAACCTTTAAACCTTACAGCATTCAAACCTTCATACAATCAATAAACCTCAAACATTCCAACCTTTGAATCACTCATAAAATTAAAACATTCCAACCTTCAACCCTTAAAACAATTCTACGCAATGGCCTCTACACCACAATTTGTCGTCAAAGCACATTTCAATGGTGAGACATACATTTGTCCCACCGCTGGGTTTTTGTTTAGAGACAAAGACAACATCTGATTTCTCTTAAACAGGAAAGCCAATTTCTCGTACTTCAAAAAAAGATTGGAGGCCAAACTTGAACGAGGCCCGGTGTCCCAGATATTTTATCAGAATCCAGTTTCCTTTGGAAACAACCAAGTAATTTTTTATAAGGTTGACGTTCAAGATGATGAGGATCTCCAGAATATGTTTTCCAGCCATGTCTATTCTGGGTACGACTCTATTGAGTTGTATGTTATGCTGCGAGAGCCTCAGGTGACACAAGAGGTTGATCCTTTGGAGAATGAACAAGCTGAGGTAGATGCAGTTGATGATGAAGAAGAAGATAACGAGTTAGAGTTTGATGAAATGGTGAATGATGATTCCGACGATGATGGAATCCCTAGTATTCCTGCAAACAAAATCTACACACCACTTCCGCACATGACAAACTTCAACATGGGCGGAGATGAACCTTCTACTGACTTATTTTTCAATCCGTATATGCAGTCGGATGAAAATTTAAAAGAGAAGGACAAGTTTCGTAACAGAGAGGAATGCATCAGAGCCATTAAAAAATTCCACATGCTCAACTCGGTTGATTTTAAGGTGGATCGTGTCAACCCGGAAAGGTACAAGATCAAGTGTGTCCACCCTGACTGTATGTTCAAGCTGACCGCATCATACAGATTAAGGGGTGACTGCTGGGTCATAGGTTCCATGACTACCCACACTTGTGTAAGTTCCACTCAATCACAGGACCACCGAAAACTCAACTATGATCTCATCTGTCAAGAAATCCTACCCCTGGTCAGCAACGACCCATCTTTGAAGGTGAAAACAATCATCTCCCACATCACCACGGTTTTTAACTACACTTCGTCTTACCGTAAGGCGTGGTTAGCAAAGACTAAGGCGATTGAAAGGGTGTACGGAAACTGGGAGGAGTCATACCAAGAACTTCCCCGCTACCTGAATGCACTTAAGACATATTCTCCAGGTAGTGTTTACGTTCTGGAAACAGTGCCAGCATACGCCCAAGATGGTAGTCTACTAAATGGCAACAGAATATTCAGTCGCGTGTTTTGGGCATTTCAACCATGCATCACAGGGTTTGCATCATGCAAACCAATTATACAAATTGATGGGACTTGGTTGTATGGGAAGTACAAAGGCACGCTACTGATGGCAGTTGCACAAGATGGCAACAACAACATTTTCCCCATTGCCTTTGCCCTTGTCGAGGGGGAGACCGGTGGTGCTTGGAGCTTTTTCCTGAAAAATCTGCGGACACACGTGGCTCCTCAACCAGATCTCTGTTTGATCTCGGACAGACATGCCTCCATTGAAAGTGCCTACAATAATCCAGCAAATGGTTGGCATGACCCTCCTTCTACGCATGTCTATTGCGTTAGGCATATCGTCCAAAATTTCTCGAGGGAGATCAAGGACAAAACATTGAGGAAAGCGGTTATGAATGCGGGATATGCATTGACACAACCCACATTCAAATATTACCGCAACGAGATCCGTTTGTCAAATCCGGAAGCCGGTAGGTGGATCGACAATATTCCTGTGGAAAAATGGACTAGGTCATACGATAATGGCCAAAGATGGGGGCATATGACAACGAATCTTATTGAATCAATGAATGGGGTATTCAAAGGCATACGAAACCTCCCAATCACTGCCTTGGTAAAATCTACGTATTTTAGGATGGCTGCGTTATTTGCCAAAAGAGGTGAAATGTGGAATAGGTGTTGCAATCTGGATAACTATGGAGTGAAAGCTGCATGAAATACATTAAGGTTGAAAGTGCTAAAGCCAACACTCATATGGTTATACGGTTTGACCGACACAGCCACAACTTCATTGTGAAAGAGACAATCGACCACAATGAAGGCCTGCCAAGACAAGAATATAGGGTCATGCTACCTTCTCAATGGTGCGATTGTGGTAGGTTTCAAGCATTTCGTATGCCTTGCTCTCATGTCATTGTCGCTTGTGCTCATACCCATCAAGACGCGCTGCAACTTCTGTCAAACATTTACAAATCTGAAACGTTGCTCAACGTTTACAACAACAACTTTCCTTTGGTAGCAAAACCAGATTATTGGCCTGCATACGACGGCGAAATAGTGTGGCACAATGACCAAATGCGAAGGAACAAGAAGGGTCGTCCCAAAAGTAAGCGCATCACAACAGAAATGGACGATCTTGACAGGTTGGAAAGAAAGTGTGATTTATGCCGTCAGGTCAGACACAATCGCAAAAACTGTCCGAATCGGGTGTCTGGCTCGACCACATAAATATTGTAATACATAAAATCTTTTCTTAATTGTGTTGTAAACATTTGGGTTTTCCGTTAACAGATTTTGCTACAATTAATAAAACGCGTACAAGAATAATTAACGATATTCCATCTAGGAAATTACAACTGTTAACACAATTTCATCTGACCCATGCATCATCAACATTACATCGCTGTCTGTTTTGACTTCCTCCAACCACACATCAGGTCTTCCTGTCGCATGTGAGGTTGTTGTTCGTTTTCGCTGGATCCTTCGAATTTTTTCCCCCTCCGCAATGTCTCCATCTAGCCATCGCATCAACTCCCGCTTCAGATGCTCCATGGAGTGAATGTGCCAGAATTTCATTTTCATCGCAGGTTTCGTGGCGGAGAAGATAACGTAACCATCTCTGCTAAAAATCATAGGCGACGTCATGACGCAAATAACATAGTACAAAATAAAAATACAGTGCGAGAAAGTGTGAGAAATTTCAGAGAAACGGACGAATTATTTATAAAACAGCATTTTGCCCTAGTTTTTCCCTAGGAGCTAAGTGAGATGGCGCCTCCTCTCATTTTTAAGGAGCATGCGCCATCTCACTTGGCTAAAAGCCAAGGGAGGCGCCAAGTGAGATGGCGCCTAGGGCAAAAGTGTAGGTGCATGCGCCAATTCAGATGGCTCCTCCTTTGGGGAGTCATCTGAAACATGGTTATTTGCGTAATTTTTTCTGAAACCCGGTTATTTGCGAAATATTATTTTAATACATGGTTATTAATAAAAAAAATTCACGTGCGCCACCTTTTTTTTTTAACAAATTGTTAAATTTAAGGATTAAAATGAAAAGAAACTAAACACTTAAAAAATTCATAAAAAAATTATAGATTAAAATCATAAACAAGCAAAGAAAAAACTATTTAAATAAAAAAACTTCAAACATAATTTATTATAATGATATATTTAGATTTTAATTAATATTTATCTTTTCTCGTTCAAGACATAACACACGTGGAAGCAGTGTGATGTGAAACCATTACCACTCGAGCTTCAAAAGTACAGTACTCTTAGTTTGAACACTGTGATTTGTTGTACTTATGATACTCGTGCGCTCTCAGTGAAGAAATTGGGGCGGTGACGGTTCAAACTTCTCTTGCATTGCAAGTTTTAACTTCTCTATCAATTAATTAACAAGTAATCAAATATAAGAAATGAAAATATGTTTCATATGGATATGAATAATATTTAGATACAGGTAATAATTCATTAAAGAGTAGCATAGTATGCACACAAAAAATACTGAACAAATTTAAATATTTTAATTTATTAATAATAAATAAAAATTTATTATTCTAATACAAAAAAAATCTATTTTCTAAAAAGTTAAATATTTTTCTTTTTTTTTTTCAACTCATCTCTTTTTAAAATTTTCTTATCTTTTTTCTATAAATTTTAAGACTTTTTGAAAGTTTGAATGGGAGGGAAAGGGAAGACAATTTTTAAAATACTATAATAATATAAATTATATTTAAACAATGGATAAAATCTATGTATAATTTTCTAAGTGCGGTTTTTATTATTTTTTAATAAAAATATAATAAATATATAGTTTCTTCTTACACATATAAATTGTTTATATTTTTATTTTTTAAATGATATTTAAGCATATTTGTCCTATTTTCATTAGAAAATAGTAAAAACCTCATCTAAACAAATATATCTAAGTTTTGTCCTTAAGAGGGTGTAATGAATCCAAATAAGAGTTTTGCCCTAGACTCTTAACAAAAACCGCTCTTAGATAGAAAAAACTAACAGAGATTAAGAGGTAAATATATAATGTTACTAGTAAGTTACTGAATCAATAGATCAATTTTAAAACGCAAGCAATTATCATTGAAGAGTGTGAGTGTCTTGTTGAATTGTTTCTATCTTTTTCGATAAATAAAAGGCGACATTATAGTGATCAACAAAAGACAACATTACAACGCGTTTTTGCCATCTTATTAAAACCTCACCTTCATAAATATGTTCAAACCTGTTTCTATAACTATTCTGTTCCTTTTAGGTGATTGGTTTACTCTCCCAAGTCAATACTAACATTTAATATCATTATCATCTCGTTGATTGTTACGAGGATATAGATAAATAGATAGATAGATATAGTATGAAATGAAAATTTATATATAAAAAGTTGTATGAAACCAACCAATATGCTTAAAGTTAAAACAAACAATTCATCAACAACATAAATAATACATAAAACTCAGAAAACCAAAAGTATAATCAGCCTTAGAAAATCAAACTCAATAAAATCATGAAATAGAAGATATATATCCTCTTTAGTGTCTCCCATCCATGTCATCCCTCCAATTCCTTGGAGGCTGAGAAGCAGAAGAAGAACCTCCAAATTGCATAGACAATCTCAGAAACTCTTGTTGCTGCTGAGATAATCCAGAAGATGAGGACGAAGACGAAGACGAAGATGATAAGTTCTGAGGATTAGAAACAAACATGTCTCTCCCATAATAACGAAGTATATCCTGATTGAAGTTACCACTACCACCACCACCGCCTTGAAGTTGTGCTTGTGCAGCAGCATATTGATAAGGATTTGAATATGCTTCTTGAGAAAATTGTTGAAGAGGAACTGAGTTAGACTGTTGCTGGTTATTTGTGGATGACATAAAATGATGAAACTCTTGGTTAAATCCAAATTCTGCCGAACTTTGAACTCTTTCAGGAAAATTGAGCTTAGCTTTGCTTCCTTTGAATCTAAGTGCAGCTTCATCATAAGCAACAGCTGCAGCCTCAGCAGTTTCAAAGGTTCCAAGCCACACTCTTGCCGCCTTCTTCGGATCGCGAATCTCTGCAGCCCATTTTCCCCATGGCCTCTGCCTCACTCCTCTATAGTGCCTTTTTCTTTCACTCCCTTCATATCAATACCACATACATACATCAATATTATTAAGATAGTTATTATATATGTTACTTTGCTGCCTTCAAAACCCTAGAAGCACAATATTAGTTTATATTTTGCACTAGAACAATAATAAAGAAGCGATTAATTGTTGAGGAGTGTTAATAAGGTAGTTAACTACCTTGATCTTGTTCTGGTGGTTGAGATTGTTCATTAATATGGATTGAGGAAGCTTCTTCAAGTTCACTGTTGTTGTTGCCTCCCATGACTTGAGTCAGTGCAGAAACTATGGCTGACATATCTTGCTGTGACCTTTCAGAAAACACTGGAAACAAATTCTCATCTTGTTTTCCATCTTCTTCCCATGATTCTCTCCTTCTATCCATCTTGATCAACTTTAATTACTAATTAATTAAATTAATTGATTGATTATTCACTTGAAATTACTTGTTAGGTATCTTTGTTAGAGATAGATTTGGGATGAGAAGAGGGAAGGAGAAATATTAGGGTTTGGGTTGAGTGTTATATAGATGTCTTGATGCCTTGTGTGAAAGTTTGAAAATAATGAACGGACTAGAACCCGCCGAAAATGATAAAGTTATACTTTTATTAATGCTTTTCCAGGAATATAGCTGCTTTGTAAGATTGTTATTTTTACATTATTAATTAGTTTTATATCAACAAAATCAATTGATGTGAGTATCACAAGTATCAAATATCATTGCAAACAAAGTAAATCAAATCTTTGGATACAAACTAAATGTTTACTACACCAATATGAAAAATAAAATCTGTTTTTTTTTTCTATCATCCGTGTTGATAAAATATATATATATATATATATATATATATATATATATATATATATATATATATATATATATATATATATATATATATATATATATATATATATATATATATATATCAAATAGGAGTGTTTTTAACATAAAAGATAAGATGATTGAATACAAACCATTTGATTTGATAAATGGTTTTGATGAACTTTTATTGTCATGACTTCATCAAGACTATTTATCAAAGCTAGTGGTTAGTGTTTAATCTTCTTATCTCTTATTTTAAAATTCTCCTATTTGATATATATATATATATATATATATATATATATATATATATATATATATATATATATATATATATATATATACTATGCCAAACAAGCACATTGACAGCGCTTTAAAGCGCTGTCTAAACCAGTGATGCTATAAGTAAATACAACGTTTTGGATTAATGTAAAAACGCTGCTATATGTCCCTTTTAGGCAGCGCTTTTACTTTAAAAGCGCTTTATTATGCAACCCTTTAGCAGCGCTTTCTCTTTAGAGAGCGCTTTCGTAAGTACCCCCTTTAGCAGCGCTTTCTCTTTAGACAACGCTTTTGGTTATCTTTTAGGCATCGCTTTAGACAATGCTTTTTTTTAAAAGCGTTGTCTGTTACCCACTTTAGGCAGCGCTTTCCCATTTTTGGCAGCACTTTTTCTCATTTTAGACAGCGCTTTTTCCCCACTTTAGACAACACTTTTCTCATTAAACGTTGTCTAATGTTCACAATTGTTTTTAAATAGTAGACTTATTTTTATTTACAGAAAGTGCTGTCCAATATCTACAATAAATTTTCACCATATTTTGCACAAGATTTGATAGCTTTAATCCAATAAATATGCATCAAATTTGCATAAACAAAAACTCTACATATATATAATTGATGATATATACAACAACAACTTAAAAATTGATGATACAACTTGAAAATTCTAAAATTATAAATTGATGTTTAATCTACATATTACTATCTTCGAGAATTTCTAAAAAACAACAACAATGAACTTGTTAGTTGTATCTTCTACATCTGCACCTATAACCTGAAACAAAACCAAAAGATCGAAATTCATACCATGATAAAACAAAATTTTATTCGAATTTATACTCAGAACTCGAAAGTTATACTCAAAATTCTCATCAATGAAAGAAAGACAGTATACCCTATAAAATTCTCAACTCCATAATGAATTGACACCATTCATCCATAAGTTCATTCAATTGATCTTTTGAGTAATTGGCACAATTAAATTCGTCAAAGCACTACATAGTAATATAACATAGTATGTGATTTAGTTAAAACACTATGTCATTTTATGAGAAATATTAAAATAATTCCTAAGTTAGAAATTCATATCGTGGATGGAATCTCTATTCGGTCCAAACGAAGTGTTTCTTTCATAAACTTCAAGATGAAATAACTGCAATTTATACCATTACGTTGACGAGTACGCTACACATGGAATATATATATATATATATATATATATATATATATATATATATATATATATATATATATATATATATATATATATATATATATATATATATATATATATATATATATATATATCAGGATATTCCCCTTAACTTGTTTTATCAAGTATCATCACTAATATAATCAAAATTATAAAAATATAACTGCACTCTGATCCATGTAATGTTGTTGGCTCTACTATTTGGTACTTGAATACCTCTTTGTGATCTAAGATCTTGTAGAACGCTATAATAAAATATAAATGACTATTTAGAACAATTTCACATAGATAAATAAATATACACACGAATATTTAGAACAATCTCACTTACGAATCAATCATCTTCTTCAAATTTGGGTATGTTGTCCAATCATTGTATAATGAATCTAGATGGTATACAATTTCTTACAGGATTAATCGCAAGCAACAACCAATGTCCACTGTAAAATTAAACAAATGTTAGATGAAAAGTTTCTACACAACGTCAAAAAACGAAAAATTATAATAGATGAAGTTAGGATGAAAATCTAACATGTTGCCAGTATTATATGGTAAAAAGAAAAACTTTTCTGTATCTTTGCTGGCCACAAATAAACCGAGTACATACGATATGACATCATCTAGTTTTGTTACGATTAACCCTGCGTTGACGGTTTTGGGAGCTAAGAAAGTGAATCTTTCTTCCAATCCACGCGGGCGCATCACTTTTTCATACAAAAACCTTAAATGAAAAAATCATTAAAATTAGACTATATTCATTGAAATGAGTAAATAAATTTTTCATTTAATTAAGCAAATTTGATCGGAGTATACCTGATGCATGTATCGATAACACCGAGGCCTAAAGTCAAATGTTGAAAAACTTGACCCATATCTTCTCTACCAATTTCTTCCATGTATTCATAACCAAAAATGTCCGCCTTCATAGGTATAAGACGAGTACCACCAATTGGAATATATGTTATTCCTATATATGTCCGAAGGCACGACCTATATTGAGAAGCAGGTTTTTTGCTAACCGCGGTCTTCTTACCCCTACTGACTTGTTCAATCTCTTTAGCATGCATCTAAATATCATATAATTAGTTGGCTGAAGTATAAGATTATTTTATGCATAAATATCATATAATTGTGTTATACCTCTTTTTTTGATACAACTGACTCGGTTTGCCGCATAATCCCCTTATATTTTGATTTGGGTTTTATAGGACTCTAACATTACCATGTAAAAATATGTATGTAAAATGCTCGTAAAAATTTTGAATACTCAAAGGTTCATAATGGGTTTTAAACACACCTAATCATCTACGCGAATGAGGCTTGACGGCCATGCAACATACGCACCTACTGCCTCTCCAACCAATGTTGCATCTGAAACATCATCTGGTATTGGTAATAACGCACCCCTCTAAAGCAATATCATTTGATACCTTCAAATATCCAGCAGGGAGCGGTTTATGGTGAAGTACTTCTCCCAAAGTATTATGCAATTTCCCCTTGCCAACCATCCAATAAGTCGGTGATGATAAATAGAGTTGACAGGATGAAATGCCCTAAAACCAATAATAAATATGACATTGTTAATGTGTGTGTGTGTGTGTGTGTATATATATATATATATATATATATATATATATATATATATATATATATATATATATATATATATATATATATATATATATATATATATATATATATATATATATATATATATATATATATATATATATATATATATGTGTGTGTGTGTGTGTGTGTGTGTGTCAATTAAATAAATTGCACTAATTTAATTTCATAATGATATATATATAATTACCTCGGGAATATTCGGTTGAACATTACAATTGACACTAGATTTGTCAATAGTATCTTTAAAACCTGAAGCTTCCCTTTCTGACTGATCTCTTGCTTTTTCCTTTCTCAATTCACTAACTTCAGCTTCTAATGCTTGCAACTTTTCCTGCAGTTCTTTATTGCTAGGAGATTTTGTCTTTGGATTTTTCTTTTTCAAGGATGTTGGAGTGATCCCATGTCCCATACCCCTCACCCGACCGGAATACTCACGAACATCTAATGCTTGACTAAGTATGCTCCTGCAATCATTGTAGTCATCTGGAGATATAGACTGATACAGATTCTCCTGAAATTCATATGAATATCGAAAAAGCATGAATATTATATGTTAATAAACTTTTGATTTAATTAAACAATTAATGTTATACTTACACTTTTCTCAAAAATTTGTTGAACCTCTTCTTTAACAACTCCATCCTTACCCACACGGGCGGCCTTCCACAAATCATGTTCCGGAGCAGATGTTTCAGAACTATTCTCCTCTTTTAACTACACATTAAGACAAAAAATAAGATCAATTATAACTCATGATGAACAAGTATATCATTGCGATTTATAGATACTTACTATTTTTTATTGTAAGTGTGCATATCATGTACGCCCTTTTCTATATCGATACGCAGGACCTGAGGCTCATTGGCGATTTACGACACTCGTATTCTGAAATTTTTCGGTTCTTCGTTTTTCTTTAAAAGTGTCACATTCTTCAGGTGAAATCAAGTATGCATATTTACTAGGATGCTCGACATCAACAAAAAAAATTTCGGCATCTCTTAGATACTTGTTTAATAAATAAGATCTAAACCCTCTATGTCTTTTTCCAGCCAATTGAAGATAATAATCTATTCTGGTATCATCAATGTTAAAAGACCTCTACGAAAAACATACACAGAGTGCGTTAGTATAAGTAATTTAAAGACATAATCGTAATAAAAAACAAATAACATCACATATAGTACTTGTATCTCACTCCAGATTTTGTCTTTAGCGGTATTCAACTTCTCGTTTCTCCAATTATCACAATTAATTGGAACTTCTCTCATTGCAAGTGAACCAATGTAACTTATCAATTTAGAACCGTTAGGTTCAATTAGTTGCTCATTTTAATTCTAATGCACATTATATTTTATTCCTCTATTTCTATCATGAATGATTTTCTTCATAATAATTATTCCCCTTCTAATTTCCCTTTCCTCTGCATTAACAAATT